TAGAATTCTGTGGTTTAGGGTGAACGTAAAATTTGGTGAACGCGCACCGGGTGAGAATAGCCACAAGACTCGCCTGCCACTATTCTCACAATAGAGGTGGCCAAACACTTAGACTTAACTGAACTAAAATAATCAGAGATTTCTCACCAAACTGGACATAGACATTGTGGAATTTATTAAATACACAAAGTCTCCGAAAAGGTGCCCTTTGGATAGCTGGTACAGATGTAGATCTAGATCTAGAAATAGATCTGGTTGAAGTCGCGGAGTACGGCACAAGTCCGCATTGACAGTTTCACGTTGGTTTGTTTACATGTGGAGTGTGGAGAGTCGATGACGCCTTGTTAAACGGAAGCAGACTTCAACTTCCGGTTAATAATACTTGATACTTGGTTTAGATTTTGAAAATAGATTTGAAATTGAAACCATGACTCAAGAAGTGACTTATTTTATCCGAGATTGGGTCTGCGGGCGGAACGCGGAGCAAATCTTAGGACTGCAGGAAAAACATTAAATAATGAAAGTTACTTTAGAGGGAAGAAATACTAGATCTAGATTCTATTTATTCGGAAAGTATTTTAGCCTGGGGGTCAGTTTCTTTGTGAGAAAATGTGTCAGGATTGAAAAAGAACCCCCACGACAGGACTTTGTGGAGTGGAAGAAATTTTCCCACATACATTACTAGATCTATACTACGTCCCCATTGACACAATTTAGATCATGGTAGGCTCCCGACTCTGCCTGTCAAGGTCAACTAGGGTTGAGTGAGATTTTAGCGAACAAACATCCCAGCAGAAAAACCGAGATGCTCGATAAAAATGTTTTCCCCACTCGGGAATCAAACTCAGGTCTCCGCGAGCGACCGTGAAGCGCCTATCCGCTACACCACAGACTTTGGTAAAATTCATGAAAGCAGGAAGGAAATTATGAAAGTGGCTATGAGTGAGGGTGCATCGATTATTGAATCTCTGCTTGACAGAGAAAAGTTAATCCCACAGAAGAAAAGACAATTCAAGCCGACCACCAGCACATTTCCAAATGGGGGAAAAAAACAACAACAAGTTGAACTGAAACCCCAAAATGGGAAATATTTAGTTTTTTTCATAACAAACCGAGCCACCAGTTTCTCTTGTGCTTCAGTCAGTTTTCAAAAGATAATTAAACTCAAAACATCTGATCAAACTAATATATTAATAATTATTATTTGCTGATGGAATTAGGGCACTGTACTCCTGTGTACAACGTTGTAGCGTCTAATATTATTTTATGAATATGCACACATTTACATAAAAGTTGATTAAACTCACGCTGAAGTCTCTATCCATGCAGGCAGACGGAGACAGCAGATGAAAGAACTTCCCAAGGGAACAAAGGAATCCAATACAGCTAAATAATAGGCCTACAATCGATTCTACGTACCGTCGAGCACGGATATCTCGAACACGTTAGGGGGTTGGTGTGGTCGACGCAACCGTAAGTCGAGTAAACCGCTAAAGGCCTAACGAAAAATAAGAGGAGGGCTCTTGTGGCCTAGAGGTTAAGCTGTTTGCCTCTCATTCAAAGAAAGGTCCCGGGTTCGAATCCGGATATAGCAACGAAAAAAATGTTCTTCTCTATAATAGACTCTTTTCACATCCTTTCCAGCTCTCTTGCAATATTCTGTCGTCTGCTTTCGTCTCTACCTTCTGCCCCCACCCCTCACCTCCTTTGCCCTCTCCTCTGGGCTCCTGACTCTTTCTGCAGCCTTTCTACTGCAACTCCTTGGCACCTTCTTACTGCTGTCTTTCAGCGACACCCCTGATCTTCTGATAGAAATAGATCTACACCTAGCCTTTTCGGACAAGGGTGAAACGCTTTGGAGGTCTGGTATTCAATTTGCCCACGTGAAAGATCCCTTGGTGGTCTAAAATCGATAAGAGTAGGCTTCGGCCGCCACCCGGGCAAAATTCAAAATTTCCTACCAAATGAAAATGTTAAATTATATGTCCCGCGCTCCCATGACCTTATGCAGTTTGCGAGCGCCGTAAAACATTTACAAAAGAGAAAAAGCAGAAAAATAAGAGTGCCATTGAAATAAAAGCCAAAGGAAAGTAACTGTGCCGTTTTCTCTCCTCCGCCACAATGAAAAGTACCCAGGCCAGTATCGATAAATGAAAACAAAGACAAAAATACACACATACACACACACACGTAACTTGTAAAAACCTGTCCTTTTTCAGTGTACTGGAACATC